TCTCTCTCACTTAAGTCTGAAATGCATCCCTCAGACTAATTAGTTCTGGGGGAAACACTAATAAATCCTAATATTTCTCAAAGAGAAATGGCTTAAAATTTAATTTCTATTAAGCTGTTACTGGAGTTTACGCTAATTAAATCTCAGCCATAATAACAACTAATGCCTGGAACAATCTGCAAGTGTAAATAATGTAATAAAGTAAACAACTCTGAATGAACACCCCACACAAACCCCCCAAGCAACACAGGAAGCATGGGAAGGGCCCAAGTCTGTGTGCAAACAGCCAACAGAGGAACTGTTTCTGACCCTCTCAGAAAAGAGCATTTGTTTTTTTTAATAAGCAGAGCTGTGCTATATTCTACATGTGTCTCCCTCAGAGAGTAGATTTCCATTGTAAATACTGGAGGTTGGCTCTGGAGGTGTCTTCCATGAACAATGGCCTGTCAAGGCCTGCAGGGAGAAGAAGATGAACTGAACAGCATGGAGGCACAAGGAAATCTCCAAGGACAGTGGCAGGCCTGAAATTGCATCCAAGCTGTTGCATACTGCCCTCTCTTGCATGTCAAACTGCCTCTAGTCTTAAACACCCATTCATTTGCCTTTCTCCTCCATGCACCACCACCTCTAGCCTGAAGGGTAAACGATGTGCCCAACTTTAGGCATGAAGTGGCTCTGGGTGGCATCTCTCCCTTACAGATGATTTTTGCTGTATAATATGTATTTTAAATTTTCTACAAAGTCTTCCAGGTAGAGCTTCACCAGCCATAAAAGTTTAAACAAACTGTTTTATGGAATCAAATGTATTTTCAAAAAAAAAAAATCCTTTGTGCCATGTCTTTGGGAAGTGTCAGCCTGTGAATACCAATAGCACTACCCAGGTATGGCTATGGTGATGCGGTAGCTCTCAAACACACAGTGGTCCAGCTGTGGAGGGGCCAACCAACCATCCGCACCTTCTTGGAGCTGCTGTGAGCAATGCTGGGGTCTACCAACAGCTTAGGTCTCTCCAGGAGTCTGCACTGTAGCTTCTGCTAATTCTTTCATTGTGAATACTTGTCTACCATGTGATATTATAAGAGTAAGATGAGAAGATGCTTATGGCAGGGGCTCTGAATGCCCATGATGTTATCTTTGCAGAATAATGAAGTCAGACCCCATTCTTTCTAATAGGATTATGCTAATAATACGAGGGGAAGGAAGTCTGGGAAATACTGAAGACACAGAATAACTATGAGAAAAGTGTATAATTATTTTCAGTGTCTTGCTGGGCATCTTCATTTCTAGTACTTAATTTAACTCTCAACATCTTCTTACAAAGAAGTATGATTATCTCCATTTTAAACATAAATTTTAATTGTTAATAGAGGTTTTCGAATTCAGCATCTTACAACTAATGCACAGAAAAATTAGAATACAGGGCTCATGTGTTTGGGTGGGTTCCAAATGCAACAAGCTTCAACAAAAGCCTATTTTCCATGTATGGATTCATCATTGCTACTTACTACATTGTGTTCCCTTTTAAATATATATACTGACACCCTATGAAGATTAATTTCAGGAGTCGCCTCTCTTGGGTTAAATGATACACAATTAGCTGAAAAAATACCACTTCTGGTTACATCTGGTATTTGATCCCAGAGACCAGTATTTGATCCAGTGGTCTAAGGAAAATCTGCCTGTCTTCGTTACTGCTCTATTACTGTGAAGAGACAACATGACCAAAGCAACTACTATAAAACAAAGCATTTAATTGGGTGTTGTTTACTGTTTTATGAGCATTAGTCCATGATCATCATGGTGAGAAACAGACAGTATGACAGTTGAGAACTTTATATGCTGATCCACAGATAGGAGGAAGAAAGAGTGACACTGGGCTTGGCATGGGCTTTTGAACCTTCAAAGCCCACCTCCTGTGGCACATCTTCTCCAACAAGGCCATACCTACTACAACAAGGCCACATTTTGTAATCCTTCCTGTTGTTGGAGTTATCGCCAGTCCTGCCCGGGCCCACAGCCATTCAGACCCAAATAAACATACAGACACTTATATTATTTAAACTGTTTGGCCTAATGGCTCAGAATTTTTGTTATCTAGTTCTTATATTTTAAATTAACCCATTTCTATCATTCTATAAGTTGCCACATGACTTGTGGCTTACCGGTACTTTCACATCATGCTTCTCATGGTGGTGGCTGACAGTGTCTACTCACTCAGCCTTCCTCTTTCTAGAATTTTCTTTTTTGTTTGTCCCGCCTATACTATACTTCTTGCCTGGCTACTGGCCAATCAGCATTTTATTTACCAACCAAATCAGAGCAACATATTTATAGCATACAGAGCCATATCCATAGCAGTTCCCCTTTTCTTTCTTTCTTCCTTCCTTTCTTTCTTTCTTTCTTTCTTTCTTTCTTTCTTTCTTTTAAAGAGGAAGGTTTTAACTTTAATATAGCAAAATTATATATAACAAAACAATTATCAAGTAAGAATTATGGTTACAATATATAGTCTATTTATAATATCTAGTCTATTTGTATTTGGCAAAATTAAACAACAAGGCCACACCTCCTAATCCTTCCCAAATAGTTCCATTAACTAGGGGCCAAGCATTCAAATATATGCACCTATGGAGGCCATCCTCATTCAAATCACCACACTGTCCTTAACCAACTCAACTGAGTACCACCCACTCTGCTGAGAAACTAGATAGGACAAAAAGACAGCATTCATTTTCTTTTCTAAAACTTGGACCCCAGATTTTTCCTGCCCTTGGACATCAGATCTTCATGGTTTTCATTCTCCACACTCCTAAACTTTCACAAGCACCCACAAAGTTCTTGGAACTTTTGGTTTCATATGACACTGACGTCGCCAATTCTCCAGACTATATATCATGAGATTTCTCAGACACTGTGATTTCTTAAGTTCATTCTCATTAAAAAAAAAAAAAAAAAAAACACCTCTAGAACAGGGAGATGATTTGGTTGGTAAAGTTCTTTCTTGCTGGGAAAGTAAAAGGACCAACTTTCAACCCCTAACCCCATGTAAAATCTTGGCATGGCAATGGACTCCTGTAATCTTAGCACTGGGGAAACAGAGGGAGGGGATCTATGTGGCTTGCTTATCAGCGAGTCTAGGTGAATCAATGAGCTACATGGTCAGTGAAAGACCAAAACATAAGGCATAGGGCTATTGAAGAAAGCACCTAAATTCAACCTTTGACCTCTACGGCATGCACATCTATAAGCATATGCACACAAAAACACCTACACATCAACAACAACAAAAAAAATCCCTCACATATATCTTGATGATTCTATTTTTCTGATCTTAGACTTATGGAGTTCCAGAACTGGCAAAATAAATTTCTGTTGTGTAAGCTATTTTGTCTGTGACGTTTTGTTACAGTATCCCTGGATAACTAATGTACCTGAGAAGTTGGAGCAGTCTAGTTACAATGTCTCTCACATGAAGTACAGAATTACATCAGCTTCCCCCTTTCCCATCCTTAATGTGCCCCCTCTCTCCCCTCTTGTCTATGAAATTCTGTGAAGACCAGCTCAATTATCATTCTCAAGAAATTCTTTCAGATAATTCCACCACCTCATGAATATTCCTTCCTCAGATATCTTCATATATCCCAGTTGGCTGACTCTTGGGAACTTTAGGAAACATTCCTAGAGTTAATCCTTTGATTGATGCTTTGTTTCCAGAAATATCATCAAAAGCATGTGAATGTTACATTTTTACATTGTCCTAGCAAACATTCTTGGAATTTATAATGGCATTTACTGAATGTCTACAACGGACCATGTACTTCAGTAAGTACTTAAAATGGGCTAAGCATATTCTATGCCTTAGTTTCTGGGGCTTACCTGCTAAAGGCACACTCTTTATTCCCATTTTAAAGAGGAAGGCAAATTCACAGATAATAAGCAGGTTTCCCAATGTTACTCAGCTGGTGGGAAGCACAGATGGGGTTGAAAACACCTAAATGTGACCCTAGAGCTGATTTCTCATTCACTGGATGGGATTGTACTTCACGGTACAAGCAGTTGACATTGGCTTTAATAGACTCTGAACCTGGAGTCTAGGGAAAAGTACAAGACTGTACAAGAAAACCTTTTAAATGTGGTTCCAATTTCAAACTAGGTCTGAGAGTTTGGAGTTTAACGTATCATGTCCCTTTTAACCCCTCCTACTGAGGGTTTCACTATAACAAGATGGTAGAGTGTATGGAGAATTCCCAACTCATATTTAGCATCATTAGGTTTTATAGTCTCAACAAGTTCAACACTACGAAATTTTGAATCCCATATTAGCGTGCGTTATGGTCATCTCTCATTAAAGCTGAAGCTAGCAACAGCCATGCCAAGACTCCGCAGTGTCTATCTAATGAGAAAAACATTTGTTAGCATTGACCCATCACTAGAGTCTCCCTCATTAGACTGTAGCTCACAGACAAACATTAGGTCTGTCATACAAGGCAAATTTCTTGAGCATGGTAACATATAACATAGCCATGCATCCCAGTCAGAGAATGCTACACAGTTATTATGTTACTCCATATTGTACCATATTATATTGTTATATTGTATATTACCCTTTTTCAAAGGTACATTAACATTTTAAATGTAAAAGAATGTAAAAATAATGGGCTATGTGAACACACACACACACTCTCAAACTCACGCCTACACATCAACCAGTAGAAAGAATAAAAACAAGTGACCGTAGATGCTGCCAACATTGTGAAAATTAGTGTCAGAAATGGGAAATATAAAACTTTACATCATCGTAATTCCTGACATCTATGCTACTAGAGTGGTGCTTAGAGAGTTAACGAAATCAGCCAGATGTAGCATATATTCGGGGTCAGTTCTAAAATACCCCGTTTTCCTTCTCATATTTCTAATTTCTCCAAAATAATTATACAAACTATGCTGCAAAGCCCAGAAGGGAAATTCAATTTTTATGAAGAAAACATGAAAAACCTTACACAAGAAAAATAGTGTTGAAATGTCTTTCTCCTCTGCTTCCTTGGTTGGTTGTTTATTTTAATTAAAACTGTGCATTTAGAAGACAAGTGATTTCATATCCTAAAAAACAAACAGAAATTTACCCTTTCACTACATTTTCTGGTTGTCATTGAATTATTTCTTACAACTTAAAAAGTAAAATGTTTTGCAAAATTTATAAAACTAAAGTGAAGCAAACTGAATCATTTTGTGTTGAGTATTTTTCACTCTTGAAATAAATCCCCCATGATAGTATATTGGGTATTGTGTGTGTCCTTTCATCTTATGCATATGTATGCACACATGCATGCGCCTAAACATCATGTTTCATTGCTATCTCTTCAGTCACTGTCTTGTTTATTAGTGACTTGAAATAGTAGGAATAACTATTTATGTGGTGCCTTTGTCTTTCATTAACCTAGTCTTTAACCCACTGCTTTATGCCTCTGTGCATATAAAATACCCCCAGATTATTTCAACTTTCTTAACTGTTTTAGGGTTTGGGATACAACAAAAAAAGATATAATTATTCTCAACAAAATAGTATTGTTTTAAATGATTCATGTGTGAGAAGATAGCAGTGCTAAAGACACCCATGCCAGGCAGAGAGTTTTTTCACAAATGTAAAAGCACTCAAACATATATCTACTTGTGGAGTATGTTTGCCCAATAATTATGGAGAGAAATTCTATATCAGACCCAGAACTTTTAGTATATTTCTTAAAATTACTAAATATATATATATATAATATTACTAATATGTTATAAACACACACACATGTGTATATATATATATATATTCTTATATATACATATATATATTCCTAAATACATAAATACACCCAGATCAGTCTGTATAATATCACCTGTATATACATTTTCATGGCTGACTATTTGATTTTAGATAGCCTATTGATATGCTCTTCCATGGGTACCTTTTTATCTTCATCAAGCATTTTAAAAGGCACAATCCCTCTTGGGTTTTACAGTAATTCCATGACAGAGGAGAAGCAATCATTGTTCCCATTTTTAAGATGAGAAGACCAAGATGAATAAGCCCTTGCTTATGGTCAGAGCTGAGCTGTGTTCCTCTCAGACTTTGTTCAGTGACTTTCTACTGCACCATAAAAACTGTTTTGCTCTGTAGTCTCTGTTAAATGATATCTACTTATACAAGGTTCATCATGAACAGAGCATGGGCCTCAGTCCTGTAGAAGAATAAGAAAGAGCACAAAGGCTGCCATACCTCTAAAAGTCTAGACACTTGTGATATTTATAGTTAGTGTATAGGGTATTTATGTTCTAGTCACTGTGTGCATTAGCCCATAGAGTAGAATTCAGAAAAGTACAGAACACAGACCACATCTCCTCTGCCATCTTGGTTATTTTGAATATATTTGTTTCATTAAAAAAATTAATCTTGTCTTTAGTAGCTTGAGTGGTTACAGTGTGGTTTACCTTTTTAAGTAAGCACCATAAAAAAAAAAGACTATTTCATTACAAGTGAATATTACATAAAGTTTAAATTTTGGTGTCAAAGTTTATTAGAGCATCACCATGCTCCACAATTGACATATTCTTGTCCCCGTTGCTACCAATTTAAGTAATTAAAACAGATATCACCTGGTTCCAAAGACTGAACTGTTCATTCTTTGACCCATTATAGGAAAGGTTTATTATGCCTCTTAGACTATATGCCCCTTTCTATTCCTAAAAATAGAAATTGCCATTTCTGGTTCAGGAAGCAGGTGTTCAGGACACCCTCGCACAATACTTATGGCAGTCGTGTACTCAGAAAGGGAAAATAAGGTTCAGAGACCATTTTTTATGTATTTTTCTCTTACTAAGAATCATGGGAAATTCTAGAGTTTGATAATTTCATGTGCGGTAGTCTGGAAGATTTCAGAACCTAAGCAACCTTGTATCTAGAAAGAACTACAGAATGAAGATGCAAGATGTTAGTCTCTGTCACAATTACTTGAATTGGACTTCTGTTCATTTATTATGCACTGTCTTTTGGTTAAAAGTCTCCTTTCACAAGGACTGTCATGCCTGAGTTTCAAGATTTCAATTTGGCACACACACACACACACACACACACACACACACACACACACACACACTATTATCTAGCAACTTTCATTATTTTATTTTGTTTCTGACTTCAGAAGTGTGTTTGTTTTGTTTGTGTTTAAAACTGTGGTTCTTGGAGCCTGGAAAGGATAAGATGTGTGGAGGACAGAGAGTTGGTGGTTAGAGGAGAAAGACAATTGGGGAGGAAAAACAGCTTCTAATGCCCTAGAGCATGGTGGGAGGGCTATGGGTGACAACAATTAGTTACATTTCAAAATACTTAATGGAAAGGATTCTGAATGTTCCTAACACAAACCCCTGGTAAAGCTGGGAAGGTGACTACACCAGTATCCCCGATCCAATGTTCTACACTGTTTGCCTGGGAAGTGACATCACTGTAGCCTACATATGTATGATTATCACATGCAAACTACAAATAATTTTTAACACAACACAGTTTAATAGTCTCTTCCTAGGAGCCTCCACACAGGCATTCAGATGGGTAGCATGGAGGTACTTTCCCAAAGTAAAGACATTTCCTAATTCCTTTAGAGAGACTATCTTTGGGAACAGAAATTCCCAATTCCCTTTTCCCAAGCCTATTAAAACTACAAAACATCCAAGTAAATCCACAGGCCACTGGGTCCAATTACCTTTGGACATGGGCCCACTGTAAGTCACGGCACATAAGAAAATTGAAATTTCGGGCCGTAGCCTCAAACTTCTGACCCAGACTGTTAAAGGGGCCGACACACCTGTGAAATATAGAATGGCAAGCTGCCATGTTTGCAGTAGTCAGAAAGTTCAGTGTCATGTAAAAGACTTTTGTCCCTGGTGCTGAGATAATGAGCTTGTTCCTTCTTGATGATTTATGGGAGGCAGATGAGAAACTGGCTGATTGAGGCTTTGCAAGATGAAAGTTTTCCGCTCTTGGCAGGAGTACCTATACCCTGGAGAACACAGTCTAACTTCACCACTTCCATTATTGCCACCAGAAAAAGCAGAATAACAAATTATGCCAGGTGAATATAAATAATACGCACTTCTCTCAACTTGCTACCTGCGGCAAAGCCAGAAAGTACGATGAATGTCTCTACAAAACTAAAGCCATTCTGGTATAGGTTGACAAGTTTCAGGATCTTGTTTGTTCAGGATAAACAGCTGGTCCCTCAGTTTCTATCCCCCTTTATTCTGTGTATCATGTGCTTGGATTGAGTCCTCTTCAATTGCCCCTTATTAACAATAAGCCTTTTTCTCTTAACTACCTAGCTTGTCTCAATAAACAAACAAATTTTGCTGGAATATAAGAGAATTCTCAGATACAACATTTATATAGTTAAGATTAATATCATATACCACGGATTTTTCTTCAAATGACTATTGAATAAAAATTTTTGTACAACAGAGTAACCATGAGGCAATTTGGTTCATTAAATTAATTTTTTAAAGCACATTAGCACTTCAAGGCCTCAGTATCCACATGTGGTCATCAGCTGCCATATTGGAGCATGCCTACATGGAATGTATCTGTCATTGAAGTCTCTGTTGAATGGTGGTGTTCAACATCTTAACCCACAAAAGTAAAATGATGATTTAATCCTGCTCTTACTATTTATATCTGTGGTCATAGAACAAAGCAAAGCTTTTAACTGCTGAAGATAATCTAATAAAGAAGAGAAAGAAACTAAGTTTTACCTATATGCCCCTGTAATCATGCTGCTTAGCTGACCCAACTAATTCCTTGTAATTCTTTCCTCAGCAGTGTAAGTTCTTCATTTCCAGGTCCACTCTCTCTGAGGCACCTAATCAAGAACACACACGCATCTGCAACAATCTCCACTAGTTATTTCTCCATTAAATTGACACATTTGCAATGCACCTAGGACCATTCTAGAAATTTTTACTTGCTGTGATGCCCAGAGGTGTCCAATTTTCTTTCTTTCTTTCTTTCTTTCTTTCTTTCTTTCTTTCTTTCTTTCTTTCTTTCTTTCTTTCTTTCTTTCTTTCTTCCTTCCTTCCTTCCTTCCTTCCTTTCTTTCTTTCTTTCTTTTCTTCCCCCAAGACAGGGTTTCTCTGGGTAGCTTTGGCACCTTTCCTGGAACTCACTCTGTAGCACAGGCTGGCCTCAAATTCACAGAGATCCACCTGGCTCTGCCTCCTGAGTGCTGAGATTAAAGGCGTGCACCACCACCACCCGACAATGTCCTGTTTGCTTGAGCCTCAATCATTTTCTACTTTCTCAGAACTTTCCACAGACCTTCCAGTTGGAATGACTGTTAGCCCCCTTTCCATTTTCCTGTAACAAATCACAATGATCCTCAGCCTGCCCCCTTGCCATCCTAATACTCGATTATTATCATTACAAACTTTCAAGAGATATCGCAATACCCTCCACTGCTTGTCATAACACCATTTGGAAAGCAACAGTTTATAAGTGTATATTAAACTCAGTGCACAGCTCTGAGAAAGCATATTTGTCTCATTTAAGCACTAAGATATATTGAAAATAATCAAGAGAGGCAGTGTTTCTTAGGAATACATTGAAACCTTTATGCAAAATGAATATGGATTGCTGGGGGAAGCTAGCCATAAATTTTCTGATATTCATTGTATCTAGATATGTTATTTGTTCCTCTTTCTATGGATAGGCTGGTCTGTTGCTCCTTTCAACAATGGAAGAATGGTGTCAGGCTATTGTTAGCTTAGTCTTTAAGGCAGCTGGCAGCTTCAACTTTCATCTTTCCTGTAAGCTGGTCATTTCTCCATTTATCTCCATCTCCAAGATCTGTTAGATCTTCTGGTTTCTGAAACATGGAAATGTCTACCCTTTCCATGGCATTCAGAAACTGGGCTGTGGGGCCAGGGCAAGGACTAAAAATTCTAGTGAGTATAAGCATAATTTTTCTGTCCCACCAGAAAGTTCTGTCCCACCAGCTATTTCCTAAATAACCACATGGAGACTTATTATTAATTACAAATGCTCGGCCAATAGCTCAGGCTTGTTGCTACCTAGCTCTTACATCTTAAATTAACACATATTTCTTATCTACACTCTACAATTTGTCAGAACCTGTTTTCAACATAGCATATTCATCTCTTGATTCCTCTGCATCTGGCTAGCAACTCTGCCTTCCTTCTTCCTCATTCTCTCTTTTAGTCTGCAAGTCCTAACCTCTACCTGCCTAGCTATTTGTCAGTCAGCTCTTCATTAACAATGAGAGCAACACATATTCACAGTGTGAAAAATGATTATTCCACAGCAGATGACCTTCTGAAGAGACTGTGTTGAAGAGACCACAAAGTCCATGGAGAGGGAACTCAGGCTTCCATGTCCCACCAAGTGATGGGCATGTAAACTGGGGTCACTTTAGGCCCTCTCAAAAACTTGAGCCATGAGCTCTCTACCATCCACAGACTGAGCCTTAGTCATTTAAACAAAATGATGGTACAGCCCATTCCTGTTACATCCCTGTCTCCAGCATCATGTGAAAAGGAGGAAAGAGGAGGAAAGCTTTTAGAATTCCTTGGATGTCTTTCTCACTATTTTATCTAGATGTTAAACAACTTTTCCAAATATCAATATGACTCCATATTGATATTTTGATTGATTTGCTGATCTATTGCAATAGACTCTAAGTTTCTAGATGTCAGGAATCTTGTATATATGTGTCCTCAGCATCTAGAGAAACTATAATGGAAGAGTTACAGCAGGAATCAAGTGAATCCAGCTCTGCTACTCCCTGGTGATATATCCTTGGGCCATTTAAGCTTCCTGGCCACTTAATGGTTTTGTTTTCTGTCAGATGGGGGTGCTAGCATAGCACATATCTTCACATTGGGTACTAAGGAATGGATGACAAAATACTGTTTGGTAAAGAAACAAAAATATCTACTACCTGATAATTTTTCTAAGGCCTGTACTGAGTAAGCATTTTTGTACATATTCACACACTTAAAGATTCATTATAGGACTTACAGATACTTTAGAAATATTTCTGAGGCAGGGCCCTCAGAACACCAGGATCTTGAGGACAGCACATTTGTGGTGCTAATTGGAGATGTCCAATCCAGTTCTCTTTCAGGTATATCCATTTTTAACAACATGTAGTTTGTGATGAAAGAGATGTCAGGAAATTGCACTTGTATTTTAGGCTGGAGAGCTATACTCAGGCTGAAAATGTTACCCCTGCACTGGTCCCACAGCGTGGTTTCCCAAGGCCATGGAAAGGGTAGACATGTTTCAGAAAATCTAAAAGAGCTCAAGGACAGGGAGGTGTCTTAGGTTTAATCTCCTTATGCCAATATCCCTGGTGTCATATGCTAGGATCTCCAGCAGGCTTTTCTTGTAAATATTGATGAACTGGACATTCTTTAAAAACTTGAACTCTATTCCTTTATGAGATTTACATGCCTGTAACTAGAGTTTCTTTAACTTAATTTATTTTTATGTATGGGTATTTTGTCTACTTGTATGTCTGTGCACCACATGCATTCCTGATGCCTGATGAGGTCAGAAGAGGGTGTCAGATACCCGCAGAACTAGAGTTACAGACAATTGTGACCACCATGCAGGTGCTGGGTATTGAACCCAGGTCCTCTGGAAGAGCAGCAAGTGCTCTTAACCATTGAGCAATCTCTCCAGCCCCTGGAGTTTCTTGATGCCATTTTTTGAACTGGTTGTGCATAATGTGGTTCTAGGATTTGGTTACATCTGCATCATAAACAATGCCCCCAAAAGCACCTATTGTCAGAGAAAGGCTCCATTATCTTTTAGAACAAACTAATTGATCTCTCTAAATTAGTTTCCCAACATTAAAGAGGGCACAAAAAAATAGCAGGCACCTCCTAAGATTTCAGAGACCATTGATAAAATTCAATGAAGAGGTTCAGTATGGCCTAACTCATGATCACTGCCTTTAATTACCTATTTTCCCCTTCTGTTTTTCTAAATTGTATTCCATGCCCTTTAACATTTAAAAAAAAAAACTGTGTGTGTGATTATATATATACACGTGTGCTTGTGTGTATAAAGTACATTTATTCACACAATAATTTATTCCTTCCTCTTTCTCTGACTCTTTAAGAATGCAAAATTCCAAAAGGCAGCTATGTTTATCTGTTTTATTTTTTCAGTGGGCCCTATATACTGGGAAAGGTACCAGATTAGTAGCTTGTACTCAGTACATAGTTTATGAATGGCTAAATAAGTGGGGGGAAAGCAGTTGACTCAGAGTAAACACTCAGTAGGTGCTAATATTGTATGCTAACTCCTGGGGCTTAAATCCTGCCTGGATAGCATTCCCCATAATGCTGATGGCCTCATTCCTTTTGTACAGTAATTATCCCATTTTGTCTCGTAAGTTCAGTATTTATGTGTCTTATTTTCCCTACTAAAATAAAGGTGGAGCAATTAGATTATTAGGTTCAGTCATTAAAGACCAAAAGTGTGCATTGGTTAAGGGAATTGGCTTCTAAATCAGGCCTCAGATCTGCCATTTGCAGTGTGCCCTTAGGCAAGTTACTGTCACTAGGCTTAATTTTCTTCATTGGTTTGGTGACAATAGTAATTGCTCTGTCCCCTAAAAACTGTTTTAAGAATGGAGTGAGATCCTGCTTGCAATGTGCTCAACCCAGTGTCTGACACATGGCAAACAGGAAATCAATGTCAGTCTGGGTGATGCCTAGCTGCCTCCCTCTTGGCATTTTGCATAGTGTCCTGGATAGAGCAAGGTGTCCTTTGCAGCAAAGGAATGACTGAATTCGTGTATCAGATATTTTGACTGAAAACAGCCAGAAGATTCATAGGGCTGTCTTCGGTTCTCCCCTTCCCACTCTGTCCTGCTCACTCTCACTCCTTCCAGTCCTCCATGTCAGCTGAATTCCACTTTCTCCTGTGAACTGACCACAGCCCCCATCACGTGGTCCTGCTTCCCGTTCAGCGGCAAGGCTCTCATTGTTCCAGCATGCTGGTGGGGCTGCCGATGACTTCTCAGGCTGAATCTCTAGTCTGTCAGGGACCAGGTCAAGCAACAAAGGAAGAGATTAGATGCCAAAGATTTGCTGTATTTTAATGCTTGGCTCCTGACACATGTTTATGCTAAGGGACAATAATTATAACAATATGACCCTGAATAACAAATGGTTCTGTCAAGCTTGCAAAGTTGTTTGCACAAAGTCAAGCTTAACTTGTGGTTTTCTTAGCATGGACCACTGACATACACACACTGGCGTATTATAATGTTTTGTCCAAAATGAAAAAAAGAAAAAAACATTCATTCACTCATTCATTTATTCACCTTTCAGTTTGACAGTCTTTCACTGAGGACTAAGCTAAGTCTGATGAATAAGTTTGTACTTGGCAGGAACTTATAGCAGTGGTGAAGGTCTTAGAAATGTCAATGCTGCAGGTAAAACAGCCTCACCCCAAATCTTCACATTCAGTCTGGAGAGCTGAGATGGTAACCACAAAAAAAGGACTTGGAGAAAAATACACAATTGTATCTGTTCCCCTCCATCATCTAGGTAATTCTCTGGTTTCAATTCTCTTGCCAAGACTCTTTTGTGTATAAAAGAGAGACATGTTTAATTGTTGCTGTCTTTGATGGAAGATATCAGGCTGGTTTTGTCTGCATCTACTTTGTTCAGTACATGAATTTTCCATTATTACTAAAGCAAAGTCCTATGATTTTAATTCTTTTATTATTTCATAATAGCACAAATGCAATATCTTACACTTACGGATGCTGGAGGGCTAAAATTGGTCTCCCTGGGCTGAAAGCAAAGAATCTGCAGAACTGCTCCTTTTCAGATGCTATGACAGGGCAAGAGAGTGCAGAGGCTCTTCCTCCTTGTATTCGTGCTGAGACCATTTTAGATTTGACTACAATTTGGCATCCTTGATGACAAATCCCATGGAAAATTACTCAACTGTGTTCTAGAAACCTAAGGTCGAGAAGCCCCAGCAATCTTAACATAGCATCAGTTAAACTGCCTGCTCATGAGAACCTCCCTCCAGTTAACTGCTTATCGTAGCTTCTGTTAAACTGTTTGCTTGCATAAAATCTCCCCCTACAACTGCTGAGGAAGATATGAAGATATGGTTTTTCTTTTTAAAGTCCCTTGCTCTAAATACTTGGGGCTATTGGAACAAAGAATTTTAGTTGGCTATAGACATGTTTGAGTAGTCTTCTCTGGTGGGCACCCCATAACAATGCCTCTAGGCTGTCTACTTTCTTATTTCCAGCTTCTGTAAACTGTCTGGATTCCTTGGCTCTTTGCATGCTTCCATCTTAAAGATGGTGGTGGCAGGTGGAATCTTTCTCACATCGCATCACTCTTGTACTAACTCTTTTGCCTTCTTCTGCATTTAAAGCATCAGTATGGCTATACCGATTCACCCAGATAATATGGGCAAAGCTCCTTAGGTTGAGGTCAGAAAACCAGCAACGTCAATTCCCCTTTACCAAAAAAAGTACAACTGTCAAAAGTTCTGGGGATTCCAACATGGACTTTTTTTTATTAAGAAAATGTTTTTATTCATTTTACATACCAGTCACAGAATTCCCTCTCCCCTCCTCCCACTCCTCCAGCCTCCCCCACCCCAACACACACCCCATTCCATCCTACAAGAAGGTGAGGCCTTACCAACATGGAGATTTTTGAGGGACTATTATTCTGCCTGTTCTCAGGGTAGGCTTAGTCTCCACATTGTCCTGGCCATTCTTTCAAGTTCCATGGAGGAGAAGAAATACTTCTGAGTATTCCAAACCATTAGATGTAGATGATTTTCCATATGCAGCAAGTTGAATGCAGAGTTAAGTCTCAGGGCTCAAGTCTTAGCAAATACCTGTTATCAATGATGTTCTCTTGAGAGAGCCACAAGAGAGGCAAATATAACTCCAGCATTACGTAGAGTGCTGGAGACTCCATAAGGTTTGTATTTTTCAAATTGCCACTCCTCCTTGTGTGTATTCAGTTCTCCTTTTTTAATTTCCTGGCCTCTGTGTGAGTGTGTGTGTGTGTGTGTGTGTGTGTGTGTGTGTGTGTGTGTCTGTCTGTCTGTCTGTCTGTCTGTCTGTCTTTCCATCTGTCTGTCTGTTGTTGGTCCACACATGACATAGCCCACATGTAGAGGTCAAAGGACAACCCCAGCTATCTGCCCTCACCTTCTACCTTGTTTGAGGTAGGGTCTCTTGTTGGCTGTTGATAGCTGCCCAGGAAGTTTGCAGGTATTCTCTGGTCTCTGCCTCTCATCTCCCCGTAGAGGTGCTAGGACCAGACATGAACTAAGCATGAGACTTTCATGGGTTCTGGGAATCTGAAACCAGATCCCTATGCATGTGTAGCAAGCACTGTACTAACTTAGGTGTCACCTCAGGCTCCTTTCCACAACACTTCTCCATCCTATCCTATATCTGGCTTAAAGCTAGAACAGCTTTGCAAATCTGATTTTTTTAAGTGTCCTTTCTGGCTACATTAGGGCCTTTTGAAATGGTAACATGGACTTAATACCTTGGGATCATTGGGTTCCAGGCACCCCATGAGCAATCCTCTGGAAATTTTTATTGGCCCTATGCTTAAAATAGATACCAAGCCTAAGTGTTTCTCATCGCTTCCATAATGCCCACCTTCCTTCAAACCAAGCACATTATGACTGCCACCTACACTGATCATTCTCAATTCGGAAACCAAAGTAATGTTTTTAAAACAAACAAGCAAAAAAGAACAGATTAAGGTATTTTCACCAAACGTTTCTATGGCTTCCTGCCACACTTAAGATAAAATTCATAATCTGTATTGTGGCTTACAGGGCCCTGTGCAGTCTTATCCAAACAGAATCCTCAACTAAACATTTGTTAGTCTTTGTTCCTCATGTATAGCAGTTTATACATATGAATCTCCTGCCCACATACCCTTTTCTCTGTAGCTCCCCATGGCCATCTTCTTTATATCTTTCAGAATGTAATTCAAGAGCAAGCTTGTAAGGTCAAGTAGAAGATGTTCAGTCTAAAAACATACTTTTTATATAAACATGTCCCATGAACATACAGAGGCAATTGTGTGTTTTAATTTGCTAATTCTGGCAATCCTCTGAAAATGACATTTATTCAGCGAGGTATCTAAGCCTTTTCACCTTTTCCACTTTCTTCATAGCTTGACTTTATTAATATTTGAACATTATTGACTGTTTATTCATTTTGTTTATTATGTATCTGCCCAGGAGGATACAAACTCTGTGAGGCAGAGACCTTGCTTGCCTTGGTTTAACCAGTGCAGTGCTTAGACTCCTAGAATGACTTATAGTACTTATCAAAGAAATAAACAAATGAATAGTTAAGTTTCTTTGACCTTTCTGTTGATTATATAGTGACCTCCATCTTTCCCTTAAAGCCAGCGTGTGGTTAGCTGTCTGGGCTGCAGGGAAAGCATCTGGAATTTAATTATTACAGAGTAGAGTATAGTTTAAAAAGGACGAAACAGCAATCAACATTTCAAAATTCGTTTGCATTACATGGGTTTATGCAGATTAGCTCTGGACAAACACTATAGCGGTTTTAGTGAGTGTCAGACCCTCTGCCCTAGGATGACACGGTGAATGACATTTCCTTCACATTTGAGAGGCTTGAGGAAGGGCTGGCATGGGACACCCCAGGAAAGCATTTGCATTTAATTGTGTGGGCACTTAAGGAAGAGCTGGGGTCACTTTCCTAGTTCTGCGGCCCTGTTAATTTAAATGCGCACATTTAAATCAATTCTTCTTCCTGCTTGGATGACAATTACCATATTTGACATTTGTTAGTCCTCAGCAGTGCCTGGGACTTGTGAATAATTTAGGAATGTTAGATTGTTCCCTAATCAAGGCAACTGAACAGAGCAAGAGCTGGATTTGTAGCTTCAGTTTCTCCCCCACAGAAAAGTGACAGCATTAAAATAAAAGCATTTAGGAGATGCACTATCCTACTTTGTGCAAAGGGCTCATTCTTCAGATACAATCTCTGTTAGTACCCATATCACAACAGCTACAAATAGTGACTTGAGGTATAGTTGACAAAGATAAAGAGGACATTCACCAGTCCCACATCTTGAATTTGATGAAGTCTATTCTATATAGGCTGGGCCCCCATCCCCATACAAAAGTCTCATACCATGGGTTTTTGTTTTAAAAGTATGGTTACTATTTGCTCAATTATCAAAAATTCATCAGGTGACTATTATGTGTTAAATATTTTTTGGGGTGTCAGTAATCTTTCCTTTGAAGCAGTAACTTGGAAGATGAGAGCCCATGAATACATAAAATTTATTCTGGTGAAGACAACAACACACTAAAATTTTCAAACTGATGAGGTTCAGGCATATTACTCTAAAACACAGTTCCTGCCATACTGGAATTTTTAAACTGAATGAATTTAAGATATATCAGGAAGGACTTGATCTTTCTACCTTTGTCTTCCAAAGTAGGTTAAAAAATCGTGTTGTTAGGTAGTTAAATATTAACAGGCTTGGAGACAATTGGGACAGACACCTCCTTCATAATTAGCAATCTGTAAAGCCAAAATTGAAATAGTAGGCCTCTGATTTCTGGCCAATAGAATGGCCTCTCCTTCATATCTCTGGTTCTGAGTAAAGATACCACTAATAGACAACAATCTAAAACTTACAAGATTATGACCAAGTAGACTTTCCAGCAAAAACAAGGACATAGTATTAACCCATTTAGTAAGAATCGATGGACCTGGGCTTGTCAAGACCATAGGTAGGAAAATACAACTTGGGAAAAGGTATCTGCTCTGGAGACTTTGAAAATAGAAAAAAAGTCTGATGAAAATAGAGATCAGTATATGGTCCCTTCAGCCATTACCCACTCTTGACTGCTGGAAGTTCTTCACTTTGTAATAAACTCTTCCCATCTTCTGTACTCTGTTCTATGTGTGGCATCTGAATTCTTTGGTGGAGATCATAAGGATGAAGGAGTTAAGGAGGATTTAAATTAAGATCTCATAACAATATGAGAGTGCCATTCTTATATACCCAGAAGGAAAGAACATCGCATCTCCAAGACAAGGGATGCTGAAAGGAAGTTGTGTGAGCAAACCTTTGGAAGTTTCCCCAGTTTATTACCTTCAGCTAATACTCTTTATCCTTTGTTTCTCCACAGCTTTGTACATGTCATCAAACCTAGCATAAAAACGACCGGTTACATTGTCTTGCTTCACACACACACACACACACACACACACACACACACACACACATGGTTTGTGGTTTCACTGCGCCCTTATTCACATCCACGGGGGGGGGGGGGGGGGGGGGGGGGGATGTGTTTGATATGCTACCTAAAAATGGAGTGAATGGGGTAAGCATGTTCTAATCTTCTGGATTCTAGGACTGAGGCCTAAGAATTAACAAAAGGCAAACAAGCAGGAGAAAAGAGAGTCTCTAATACTTGCGTGTTTAGAGGCCTTCATAGAAGCTAAGGGGAGATTCAAAGAATGGTTAAAATCAATCTTAAAATCAATCGGGGACCTTACAGCACTTTTTGAAAGACCAATAAATTTGTTGAAGAGGGCATGACAAAAAAAAATGGGTTTTGGCTGAGAGCGGTCACTAAGTGGGAGAAAGGTAAAGGTATAGGGGAAAACAAAGCAATACCAGAGTTACACTGGTGAGACTCATTTGTACAGATCCATCTAGGTGCTGTCTCTCTGACTACGGTGATAAGGGTAGTTCTAGCTCAGAGAAGGGAAAGGAACCATCTCCACAAAAGAAAACTACCTTGTGCTTCTGAGCAGACAGGCGGGAAAGGCTCTCTTTCTGTATTTTCTCTTCTTTAATTTTGTCCTCTACTCAAAAGAACCCTCATACCAAAGCAGCATATTTTCAGGGACTTAGATGTTTATGCCCTGGTCTCTTCATCTCTTCATCATTCTGGATGATGCTATATAAGACTTCTCATGTGAGAAGAAAC